TGAAAGATTGCGGCTTAATGCTATTTACTTTGACACGGCACCTGCTATCATCATGTAGTAATTGGATGGCCGGTAGAAGCTGGCCGTATATCGCAGGTTCCTTTCAAGGTATGCCTACAGACCTTTGCATCAGATCCGATCATATGCCTTCTTTAGATCAAAATAGCGCAAATTCACGGTATGGGCGAATTTCCACAATCGGGGTCTCTGTAGCTTCTGCAGAAAGCATTATACGGTCCTAGCGCTATATTTATTAATTTACCGTTGTATTTTTCAATCAGATTCCTTCGGTAGAAAATGATACATGAAGGCATTTCAGAAATTATAGATCTATTTAATTCCGTGTTTCCACAGGACCCAGTGTAGTTTTGGAATTTGTACCATCCCAGTACTATTTGCTCGAATCCATTTAGTGACAACTGGAGACATATGGCACCACATAGCAAAATTGCTCTGCTGATTGGATTGCCTTTCAAGGGTAAAAACAGTAGAGTTTCGAATTATGCTTCAACTATGTATTCTTTGCTGTAGCCGTCTGGTAAGAAAAATTCTTTCTTGCTGGTTAGTCGATGTTCTGTTATATTAACCCAGGTGTATATTTTACAACTATGTACCCTGTCTTGTTTACGTTAGGTAAAGGTTCACAGATGTATAAATTAAATTTATGACTTCTAATTTTTCCATCCTATCGAGTAAGCTGCGGAGAAAAACTAAATTATTTGCTGGTCCTACGCATGCAGGTTTCCTGATAGCTAACTTTGTTTTATCATAATTTACCTGTTATTATCTACTTTAATATTATTTCGTTTATTTGTGAAACTCCGCCGTTGCCGGTCCCAAATCCGGCTCAGAAAGGAGGAAGGTTGGAGACAGTGGCAAAGTTTAGGTAAAATTCAGCCACCTACTACATATGATATTGACGACGTCGAAAATTATATCGGCTCGGTCGCCGCCCGGGCGACCAAGGGCCGCGCAGGCTGTTGCAGGACTGAGGAAGCCGGCGAAAAGTCGGTGATCAGAAGAAGTTCACTGCAATCTTCCAACCAAAGGCGTTGCAGCACCACAAAGGCTTACGAAGACCGATATCAGGACAAAAATGCAAGTCAGCAACGGAGTCGCTACCCGTTCTGAAAATAGGAGGAAGACAGCGCGATGCCATCCTGGCATGTCAAAAAAGAATCCATGAAAACGACACCACCAGTGACAAGTTAAACCCAGTAATTGGAATATATCCTTACTCAGACGGAAAGAACAAGAATTAGTTGATGAGGCCATAAAGTACCAGCTCGACATTGATGGACTCTCTCAACGAAACGCCAAGTCTCTGGACTACTGAACCTCAACGGGTGGAAGCAATTCTACTCTGGCGTCCATATCACGACTCGCGTTCAGGCCCGTGTTGGCGTTCT